TACTTTTAAAATTAAAGAATGAATTCTCTCAAGATAGATTCATTCTGAAGGTGCATTAAACCTTTTACATAATTAGTAACATTGAACTCCTAAAATACCAGGTCTTTTCAAAGTCTTTTACTCGGATAACCATATGTATTTCAAGTTCATCATCATAGGATTCTATATATATGAAAGATTTTTATGTGGGATATATATAGTAAACATACAATGACATATGACTTTTAAGGTACATATTTCATAGGTATGTATTACATAACTAGATGATGTATATTTAAAATTTATGTGTAGAATATATTAATTCTTAAGAAATGCATGTGGATTACCATAGTGACAATGGATGTTTATATCGGTGGTTTGTGCCGCATAATCTGATATAATTGTCAAAAATGACAAATAATATGTAGCTTATTATAAAAAACGATAAATTGAATAAGGAACTCGAGAAAGCTGCATCAACTAAGTGGTTTATATTAGTTTTACTTTTCTTTAGAAATAAAGTAGTTACTTATTATATATGATATTGTAGATGCCATCTTTATTAATTAAATAAGTTGCATTTTGGTTTTCTGTTTTTTCTGATAACTTAAAGTTCTCTCAGTGTATGAAACCATCATAAATGAGTTGGATTTATATCTTTGAAGTCTAAATGATTCTTATTCTTTTTAGACGAACAAGAAAAAAAGTTAGTTTTATGACCATGAATGTAGTTAACTGAACTTTCTACTAAGGTATTCCAAGTTAAAGAATAAAATTCATTTTGAGAATTGTAGAATAATGGACGAGTGATGTGTACAGATTTAGACTACTCAGAAGAAAACATTGATGAACCTAATATACAAACAATAAATTGTCTACAGATGATGTAATCCTCATATAACATTTCACTCACTAAGTCTGAAAAACACTGTAGGAACCTTTAATATATTTCATTTTGATTAATTTTTTGATTATTATACGATGTGGTAGATTAGAACTCTTTGTCTTCCTTAATATAAACTGTTTTTCAGACCATAGGTTTCAGTCAGAGTAAATAAACGTCGTTCAATGAACATAAAATGCGTATTCATGAAGTTTTATTTAATTAAATGCATTCACTAAGGAATGCTAACAAAACATATAATTTATCAGTTCATATATAAACGTATCTCGGTAACTAAAAAAGTTATCTACAATAAACGAGAGTAAAGTTTTATTTTGTAGGTTGACATATGAGATTTTTTGATGGTTTGAAGTTAATTCATTGGTCACTACACATCAAAATTACGTCCCAGTGATCAACTTGACGACTGAGTAGTGATCACGGTTTAATAATGAAAGAATATTAAAAAAGGGGATAAAGGTGTTGTTTAAATTTCCGAAAGATACATGTTTGTAAAGTATGCATTCTGTAAAGAATATTACATAGTTAAATTTTTAATTTTATTGATCTAGATTTGAAAGTTTGTAGATCCTCACTACTGATTGACGAATACAGTATCTGAAAACGCAACTAATTCGAACATATCGCCTGAAGTCTATACGACGCGAAATCGGAAGAGAGAGTTTAAGTACTTAGACTTAACAAACCTAATTTCTGTGGCTAGTAATTTTTGTATAGCTGTCTTCAAGAGTAGGTTGTTGCAGGTAAATGAAATAGTTGAAGCGCCTACAAAATGGAAAAACCTGAATTACTGATTAGTGCAAACCATAATTAAAAAATCAAAACGGCGTAAAAAATTTATTTCTTCCAACAAATTACATGATGAGTTCGTGTTTTTATCTTTTTAAAAAAGGTAAAATTCAGGTTTATTTTGTTAACAAGTCCTGAATATAAAAATAAAATTGTTTTTAATTAACGATCATTAAACCAACAGTGATACGAATGAAAATCCGTATTTTAAATCTGAAAATCACTTTAAATAACGTTACGAAAAATTGATTTTTAGCCTGTAGAAGGATCGACAGTGCCTGTTTCGTCTTCTCTGGGGCTCATCATCTGGATGTATATTCCACTTCAAATGGTTAAGACATGATCCTCTCAATAAGTGAGTCCAGATAGTGTTACATCTGCTGCTCTACGGCTTTTATTTGAAAACCACAAACATCATAATTTCTACGACGCAAAATGAAGCGTATACATTGATGCGATGAAAGTTAATTAACTGTTCAAAAATAATTGTAGTAATTTCAATGGCTTTGTCCAATATTATATGTTTAGTAAAATATAAAATTCTCATTGAGGGATACTACAACCAGTTTTATTTTCGATATATATTGCAGCCATAGAGATGTCTTGGATTTTACTTTTTCCTACCTTGTGAAGCAATAGGTCGTAAACACTTTGTAAAAACGCCTGAATAGATTATTCCATTACCAGACATAGGAGATTTGTTAAAGCAAAGAATGATTGTTGACTTATTGAAATATTTTGATTTTTTGAAACAGTCTAAATATTCAGGTGAGCCACCAAAATTACGTCCTCATAACAAGTTGTCCAGAATCGCATTTTTGTAAAACCAAACGCAGTCATTTACATACTGATTCTAAACATACCTGATAACTGGTTGGTTAACATCAAATAAATAAAATTTACACATGAGTTACCGTGGAAAAAACGAATTTTGGGGAGAGTTATACAAAGAATACAATTTTCAAGGAGGACGGCAGTTCACACTATTCATGAATGAAATCCACACTACAGGTAAATCATATTGTTATGAAATAGTGTTATACATACAAATATAACCATACTGTGGTGAAGCAGAACACATGTGAGGGCAACTGAATCGTATATAACGAAAATTACAGAGTTACTCAGTAAAAAAGGGAAACCATATCGTAACCGTTAATTTGCAAATCTTCAATCCATCATCAATCTATTGTCTGACATTTCACTATTCATGCATTTCATACAAATTCAATTGTGTTTCCATTCTTCCTTTCTTGATCTTTCCCCATCTTCTGCTGCCAGACATTCCGTTTACATTCGCGTCATATACTACTTATAAGTAGCGCGCACCACAATACTATCGAGCAGACTGTGAAGTTGCAGTAAGAAAAAAGCCATGTCAAAATGTCAGGTTTTAAATAATGTTGCAAAATATTACTGAGCTAAAGAAAAATTCGAATTCATTTCATCTTAATTTTGGACCAGCTTACTTATACTTCAAATTATTTCTAGCTATAACGTAAAACATTTTCACGGTTTTGGACTGAACACTTAATCTCTAATCGCCGTACGTTTTATTTCCAAGACAATAGATAAACTTACCAGCAAGTGCGCTATTTTTATGCTTATGCTTTTGGCGATCAAAATTTATTTCGGTTTAAACATTTCATTCAACAGTTAAACACTATTTCGCACAATTATTAATATTTACCAACCTACTTCAGGAACATAGAACCACATTTCTAGCTACCAAGCAAGCGGATCATTTATGTGTAGTTGTTTATTTTACCTCTCTGTTAACTCGTTTGGTAAAATACTATTTTTACTATTAAACATATTATAAAATATCATTATGGACAAGAGAATCCTCGGTTGAACCGCCACTCTTTGTTCTGTGTTTTAACATATGATAAATCGAATATTGTCTACCTCATGATCGAAAACTACTGAAATGTCATAATATTGTTTCTTTCCACTTAGCTCTTAGTGCATATAACATTTATCGTTTGAACTAATGCTTCAATCAAAGTTGATCGCACATCCCATCACAATAGATCATAAGCTTTGTTAAAAAGTAGTGATCAATAGTGCTCAGAGATCAGTGATGACATCATTACTAGGAGTAATATTAGCGAAAACTTTCCTAAATGCAAAAAAATAGCCCCTCTGAATGCTGGAAAAACTCAAATAAAAATAACCTGGATTATTACGTAAAAAGAAATAATTGAAGAAATTATTCTCAGCATTTGTAAACTATGCTTATAATAATATTTTTAATTGTCTTTCTATGGGTAATTTTTAATTAGGATTTCTATAATGAAAAGTATACGTGGACAATATAAAACATGAAAGCTTTGCAAATTTTTTAAAATCAAATTACTAGTCTTCATCTTATTATTTCAGTCACGTTTTTTCATTTCTAAAAATCATGTAAAATCTTGTTTCTTGTGACTGATTTGTATTACTTGTAATGTAATATTTTTCGACTTGTAAGGAATTTGAAATAAAAAGAAGTGACAGTGAGATATTGATGTGAATACATTGAATATCAGACATATTGTGAAAGTAAATTTTCAGTCAGCTGTATTTGTCTTATTTCTAAATATTTAATACCTGCCTACTACTATTGCATCACTTAAATATGTACATGATACATTGAATGTAGTTTGTCAAAGTAAAATTTAATCGAAACACAATCAGATCTGTTTACATTTCTGATAAATGTAACGTAGAAAAATTTATTGTTATTTTCGTCTTATTGAAGTTGATAAATTAACAAATGAGCGGTTATTTGAAAATATGAATCGAGAGTGAAATGTTTAGCGTAGTAAATTTATTTTTGATACATTACAACTTGAAATAATCTGAGATTTAATGAATGCATATTATTGTTTCATAGTGAATAAATCACTGTACTTCAATTTTTGCATTTTTTCCAGTTTAGGCCAGATTCATATGGTCAATTTTAGAGATAAACAATTTGGTTTTAACTAAGTATTTAGTAAATAAAAGTTAAAAGCGTGAATTTATTGGAATATCTGCTATCTTTAAAGCAAGTGAGTCAATGATTCCAAACGATATGCAATAGATTAGTTAATACATAGATTTTAAATCATAAATTTAAAACAATAAAGTACATGTAGACAATTATAATGTGTTATCATAAATTTTCTAACTAATTGATTTAAAGATAATTGATTTATTTTAAGTTTACAATGAGAAACTGATTCAATTATTAGCAGTACTCGCAAGATCATGTCGATGATCGCAATTTAAAAGCATATGATATGGAATTTCAAGTGGGTCGAATCTATATTTCTTCGCTAACTGTTCATTATGGTACTTGTTGTCATGATGATGATGATGATGATGATGATGATGATGATGATGATGATGATGATGATGATGATGATGATGATGATGATGATGATGATGATGATGATGATGATGATGATGATGATGATGATGATGATGATGATGATGATGATGATGATGATGATGATGATGATGATGATGATGATGATGATGATGATGATGATGATGATGATGATGATGATGATGATGATGATGATGATGATGATGATGATGATGATGATGATGATGATGATGATGATGATGATGATGATGATGATGATGATGATGATGATGATGATGATGATGATGATGATGATGATGATGATGATGATGATGATGATGATGATGATGATGATGATGATGATGATGATGATGATGATGATGATGATGATGATGATGATGATGATGATGATGATGATGATGATGATGATGATGATGATGATGATGATGATGATGATGATGATGATGATGATGATGATGATGATGATGATGATGATGATGATGATGATGATGATGATGATGATGATGATGATGATGATGATGATGATGATGATGATGATGATGATGATGATGATGATGATGATGATGATGATGATGATGATGATGATGATGATGATGATGATGATGATGATGATGATGATGATGATGATGATGATGATGATGATGATGATGATGATGATGATGATGATGATGATGATGATGATGATGATGATGATGATGATGATGATGATGATGAGTAATGTAGAATGAACCTCAGATATTTTAAGTTATGATTTTAAGACGAAGGAAATACTTTACTTTTTTAAATTATCCCTCTATTCAAAATAACAAACATTTGTTGTGGAAATGTCATGTTGTATATGACAAACAGTTTTTGTTTTAATGAAGTTAGCAATAAATTGTAAATAACAAATAATGACTTATTTACCTTTTAAAATTTTAATTCTAAGTCGAACAGTTAATGAATTTCAAAATTTTCATGTTTCATTGTCCATCATTATTGTAGTTTGATTTCTTTATGACTTCACATTATCTGGTTTGTTCTTGAAACTAAAAGTAGTTACATCAACAAATTATTTACATTCTAATCACTGATGTTGTTAGAAATTGAGGAACATGTATAGTTTTTTGCTGTTTGTGATATAATGAAAATAATTGACGACTTATTTTGTACCAACTTTTTTAGTGAGCTGTTAGAAATGAATTGTATCGATTGTAAGTTAAGCATAATTATTATACCTTAATTCGGAATATGAATTTTAAAACTTTCATTGTAGAAACATTGGTTTATTATGGATAAAACACTAAAACCACAAATTTCTTAGAATGAAAAGAATGATTATTACTTAATCTTTGCTCTAACTACTAGAACAATAAACTCTCAGTTCTTAGATTCAGAATAACAAGGAGGTCAAAAGTTAAACCAAATAGTGTTTTTTTATATCTTACATTATATTCGAAATGAATTAGTGCTGATAACTTTCTTCATGTATGTTCATCTATATACACTTAAGTATGTATTCTTGATGTCATAAACAGTTCAATTGTTTCTCTGTCGACGGAATGTCAATTTTAGTGTATACTCTGTGTAGTTTATCGTAATAATGCCTATCTATAGAATCTTACATTACATACCTCCAGAATCATTACGTTACTGACATCACATACTACTACGGATTGACGATACAACATCATCTATACGTACAGAGGACAAAAAATAAATCAGTGAACTTCAAAAAGTTAATTAGACAGTCAGTCATTGTACAATCAATACTCTGAGAGAAATTTGGTATCACTTTGGGTAGTATCGACAGAATAAAAATAAATTTAACATTAGGTAGGGAGTGTCGTTTTTTGTTGCCTAATCAGAGAAACAAATATCATTTTCGTTCAACCAACGACGCAAATGAATATAAAACTGGTTGTACGACTAAAGCTTATACAACACAGATTTTGGCATCGATATGAGAATGATAAAAATTGGCTGATTTTTTAATTTAAATTGCTTAAAAGTAGATTTAGAGTAAAATATTTGATACAGAGTTAATAAAAAATCTCTCCCTCTCTCTCTCTCTTTCTATATATATATATATATATATATATATATATATATATATATATATATATATATATATAGTCAAAAACCTAAAGCCTTTTAATTTAAAGAGGAAAAGATTCAAAAAAGTGAATAAACTGTAAATCACTGAACACAAAATCGGCAGTATGATTGAAATTACTGTGAAGCCATGAAAACTAAACCTCAGATTATGAAATGAACAAAAAGCTAGATTCAAATTTAACCGACTGATAACATAGTTGATTGGGCCCATGAAACTTAATTTTCCCTTTATTCTTTTAATATGGATCACTACACACAACGGAATCTAATCAATTCTTGTCAGTTAAATGTCTGTACATATTATCAAAAAACAGAAATATGTTTTCAGTAACAAGAATTTATATCACATTTTCATCTGTTATAGATATGTTAATTGTTTAATAAGGTAACTAGATCAGTAGTTAGATTAAGCTACTGGGATTTTCGTTATCAAAGGATGTAGTGCATATTATCATTCTATAGCGACAAATATTCATTTTTCTAATGTTAAATAGCATACATGCTGATCGATTTCTGCTGGGGTTACGTTTCGATGCGTTTATGAATCTAGGCAACTAAATATTTTAGTTCAATAATAAACGGTCGATCTCATACTAGAAAAATGGTGAATTGAGGTTTTCCGCTTAATAGCAAGCACATCTGCAATAGTTTTGAAACACCTTAGTACAGAATGCTAGTCACAGCAAACTCTAATTTCGTGATATTACTTTGATCATCTCATCTCATCTCAACAACAAGCGATGATTCTATTATTTCGGTTGGATTAAACACAGAAGAAATGTTAGATTGCAAAATTACATGAATAAAGTAGTGATAACATAAAGTTTATTCCGGTTTTGAATATCAAGTTAAGAAATGATTTTGTTATTTATTTAAGCGATCGAATATATCCTGTACTGAATTCATTTAAGCGCTTCTGATTTCATTTTGACAAGCATGTTCCAGTCGTTACACAATAATACCGTTTTCTATTTCCATATTCAGACAGACGGTTCTTTGTAAGCTGAATGTCAATCAATTTAAGAGCTTTTCACTATAGATATCTGCTCGTATAAATTAAATAAATTCATGTCTGTTATATTTAAGCCAAGTTAGCGTAAACTGCTATATTAACAGTAATGAGAAAAATAGTTCCTCGAATTTTTTTTCTTAAATGCTTTTACAGTCTGCTTATTAACGATTTTACCAGTTTTCCGATTAATTACCGTAGACATATTTTTGTTACCTAGAGTTAATTGTGTGTAAATGTATTATTATATAGAATTTCATATTGCAATGAATGACGATCAAAAATTGCATTTTTTTAGTAATCTGTATAAATAGGAAAAAAACGTTTAAATTTGACTTCAAACATCACTAGTATTACGTACTATGTTTTTTTTGACAAGATGGTTATATGAACCAAGTTATGTAATGTTGCTGTTTAGTTGATTAAAACAAGAAAACGTAGTACACCCCTCCTTATGTCAAAGTATTTATGGCTACAATTGTGAAGGCTGTCAGATATTCGATATTGCTTTATATTGATATTAAGTGGAAGTTAGGTATGTAACACGAATCGATCGTTGTTCGTAGACAAAAGTGTAATATCATATTAGATGAATACTATTCAATATGGAGGATGGACTGTCCTATTCGTTCAATAGTTTGTATTCCAATATAGTGACATTTAAAATGTAATTTAGATGGAAATGTGTTATGAAATGACGTATTCTGAATCCTATTGTTTGCTTGATAAATATTAACATTTTTTTAATTATTGATATTCAGACAACGTAGTTAAACTTTAATGATTATCAGTTAAAATAGTTTAATAATGTTTATTTACTGTATCTTATAATAATTCTCGTGGGCACACATTCACAGTAATTATAGAATAAAAGGTTATTTTGGATATCTATTCACTCGTCAATCAGTGAGCGCTCCTGGAACGCATTTGCCATACGTTACAGACAAACTATTAGCAATTATAATTATTTTTCAGAAAATAATAATGTCATTGTATATAAGGATAGGAACAGTGTCTTGAAAGTAGGCTGATGTAAATAATCGCTGACCGTTATATTCAGTCATTATTGAAATCAACAATTAAAAATTTCGAAACTTTACTATTAATCGAGCAAATAGATTTTAAAAATGTTTTAATATTGATTTCGATTTGAACAAAAAAAGGTTTTGTTCATTGTAGGAAAGAGAAAATTGTTAATTAAGCAATAATTTAGTTGACTTCCAATTCTAAATACCTAGTTTCAAAACCATTTTCTGTATATGTAGGTAAAATAAAAGTTCATCATACTTGTGTAACTAGCTTGTTTCCGTTATTATTATAAAACAGCAATGCGATTGGAATCTGGTGCCTTAAAATAGGCATAACAAGGGACAAAAATCTAAGAACTTAATAACGGCATCATAACTTGGCTTCCTATTGACTAGAGATTGAGAATCCAGTGTTTGAAGTCAGCGTTTTATACCATTTAACAATATAAGCAAATTCTAAACATAGGAAAAACAGGATACTTTGATTTATCAAAAATTCATCTTAAACTTTTTCTTGAAGTAAGATAACAAAGAATAGCCACTTTAGTACACCAATGTTGGTTCTGTTCAACTGTCAGAAAACGGCTTACGGTAGACTTTTCTTATTCAATTTGCCACGAAGCGACTTCCCAGTTTGTGACTCATTGAGCTGAAAGAGATAAGTATTCAACAGCATCAATACCCAAACTTTAAAAGTACTCTTATTTCGGTAATCAATGTAATCCTTTTACTGTAAAGAGTTATGTTTGATTATCGTGCATTTTCGATATAATTGTGAAAGATTTTCGTATTAGAAAATTCATTTTATCAAGAAAACACTCAAGTCAAGCTAACTCAATATGTATGATCTAACCTAGAATCAGAGCATCTATGTACGATAATTGATGACAAATAATATTTTAACTTTTTTATCCAAGTAAATTTTGCCTCTCTTGTCAGTACGTAGACTATAGAAATATTCAAACGAGATATTGTGATAGAAATATTTATTAAGGAAAAAAGGGAAGTATCTCTTAAGCTTTTATTATTGCACTTGGTGTATTGAGAACTGCAGTGACACTACAACAGGGCAGTGGTTTTTGAATAAAATCCTATTTTCATGTCTTCTGACAATGATCTTGTTCTTTTTGGAATTTACGTGTTTAGTTAGTGATAGGGATATTCTTTATTCACCTTATCAAATTTTAAGTAATCAATATTATGATTCACTTGTCTTTCAGTTCAATAGCATAATTCACTTCCATCAAGACTGCATGTACCACTTGACGATAAGTGCCACATGAAAAAAAAACGTAGCCAGAGTTTCTTTCGCATACTACATCTTACAGTTTTAGATTAAAACAAAGCACATGTAAAACAGCTAAGGGTTGTGGGAACATTGCAACCAAATTGATAGAATTTAATCAGGAGTGAGAACTAAATTAACATGCCGTTGACCGAATGTGAATGACAGACCAATGTAATTTACGATTAGGATTCGTAAATCAGACTTTAAGCTTAATATTATTGTGATGGTTGACAAATGTACAATAATTTATTGGTTTGTAACTATTTTTAATTTGTTTAAACGTACTATACATTGAAATCTTTTTAGTGTGATAAAATTCACTATGCTCAAGCGTTTAAGAAGGTCAAATCACTGGTATACAACGATAACAAATGCTGAATATTTCGAATAAAACTAGTTACCTCCACAAGTATTAAAACACTAACGATCAAATAAACAATAATTTTATCCAGTTGACCTTAGATAAACATACTGCATATTATTGTTTCTATAATGATACTTGAAATTTTAGTTTGTACAAATAAGAGACAAATGTTATTTTACTTAAAAGGAAATATAAAGTGGTTTTATGTTAGTCCCCGGAGTCCAATTATTACTCTTCTTTATGGCTAAGAAAATACGGAAATTATGAGCAGATAAATGTTTTTTTAAAATAATCGAATACAGTGAAAATGATAAACGACTTTCAAAATAGAAAAGTATCAAGGGTTGTTTTTTTTTACAGAATAACAACGCTCTGTTAATAGCATTTTATGTCTCAAATGAATTGAACTCTACAATCGTG